CTTGGTTGGCAACAACAATACAACTTTGAAATGAGAATGATAGCAGGGCTCAGTTTTGTCTTGAAACTCTTTGAATCAGTAGACTTGCATTGAGGACAATTCCCCTGCGTTTAGCCTAAACTGGTCTCCTCAACCATGAACATCAATGTTTAGAGGTAAGCTTGATATAACATCACAAGTGATACCTGCTTCAAAAAGCATTGTATATCAACCCTGTCAGGCTCGTTGGTTGGTGTTTAACGCCTCACTCAGCAATGCCCCGACAATATGGCGGCCGTCTGCAAATAATCGAGTTTGGATCAGACTTTCCAGTGATCACCATCATGACCATCGATGTAAGTAAATGGGATATGATGACATGTGTCAAGCAAGTCAGCAAACCTGATATCCTAATTCCGTTAGTCGCCTCTAACGACAAGCATGGGTTGCTGAAGATCAAATCTAACCAGGATCAGTACGGGTCTGTTAGGAGTTCCAGTACAAACGTACCAGAAACCACAACTACAATGCTACAAATGTGGTTTACTAATTAGGAGGAAATACCAAACAATGTGCTTGTGAAAATACAACTACAACACCATGGCAAACATCCAGCCTGGGTGTATAAATGACTGTTTTAGTATTTTCTTGATATAGGCGTGCATCGCGGTTACAGTCATCGCATTGAAGGTATATATTCGTCTACCATGTGCATGATATTTGTGATTTTTCCCTTTATTTAAAGTTGTCAGATGTTCCAATAATCTGTTTAATAGCAGTTTTAACTAAAAGATTGGAAGGTATCACCTGACCCTGTGTCACCAACTTAACGTCTTTCCTATTCAACGTTCATGACCTGTCTGCAGCTGTTTACTTTCATACACTATATCGATGTGTGATGCATTAGGAACTTGGTCTTCTCTGCAGTGATAAGCCAATGGACCGAATGGGCTGATAATGGAACTTGCTCTACGAGCTGTGGGCCTGGGACAATAATGCAGGATCGGACACGGACTTGTACCCAATCTACCTGTTGCCCGGCCGACCTTTCATTACGTGAGACGAGAACAGCGGCCTGTCAGCTTTGTACATGTCCAGGTAAGTAGCTAAAACTTTTGCGGTAGGTGATAAAGGGAAAGCAATGCATCTCTTTCCTTTTTCCATGTTTTCATTCCCAGAATTTTGTTTATAGACTTTACCTTTACAGGATAGGTAGCCTCATTGTACACAAATACAGTGTTTCTTTGATCACATTGTCAAATATCATGCGTTTCACAGATATGTGAAATGATCAAACTAATAATAATAGTCCATATATAAGGCGCCTTTCCATGCACTTTGCATTCTCAAGGTGCACACAAGAAGGAACACAGAGTGGTGGGAATCATTTGGAATAGGCGAGTCTGTACAAGTAGTTCTTGAGATAAGAGCGAAAGGACGAATAGTCTAATTTCAATGGGTAGGCTATTCCAAGCAGTAGCTGCAGAATAAGAAAATGGTATGTGACCAAATCGTTTGGTCCGGACACGAGGGACAACAAGGAGTCGTTTGTTCTCTGATCTGAGAGATTTAGTGAGCTGGTAGATATCGAGGAGGCTGGAGAGATGGTCTGGAGCCATTCCAGAGAGACACATAAAAGCAAAACAACATTGTTTACAAGGTATTCTGTGCTCACTTGAGAGCAAGTGCGAGGATTAGAAAACTGGAGATATGTGATCATATTTTAGAGTCAGTGGCAAAATTCTAGCTGGAGTGTTTTGAACACGTTGTTGTCTGGAGATCTGAGATTTTGTGGAACCGGCCAGGAGACTGTTACAATAGTCCAGTCTACTCATCACCAGAGACAGGACGAGGATGGTAGCAGAGACCTTTGTTAAGTACTTGCGTATGTTCCCGATAATTCTCAGATGAAAGAAGCAGCTTTTGATCAGATTGGTGACATGGTTATGGAGTGAGAGCTCTGGATCGAGAATCACACCAAGATTCCTAACAGTATCAGACATTGGGACCTGGGAAGTACCGCCTTCAAAATTGGACACTGAGCATTGAGATCGACGTGTTGGTGTTCCAATTAGAAGGCATTCGCTCTTGTCATCATTCAGCTTTAGATAGTGGTTAAACATCCATGTCTTGACATCCTCACAGCAATCTGACATATGCTGGAGTGTGATGTTAGCTTCCTGAGGATGAGGTAAGAATGAGTTGTGAAGCAGTACGTTGTGAAGCAGTACGATCAATGATCGTTCCAAGAGCCTTCACATACAAAGTGAAAAGTAGAGGTTCTAACACAGAGCCCTGCGGGACTCCACACTTGGGCATAACTGTCTTCGGTTACGATCCATCAATGTTGACGGATTGGTACCGAGAGGTGAGATAGGATTGAAACCACGTTAAAGTGGTCGCAACAGTACCAAACTTGATCCTCAGAGTATCCAGCAGTTTGCAGTGATCAACAGTATCGAAAGCGGCTCTTAAATCAAGACTAAGCGTCTATATGAAGTGTTACATGTTGTACAAGTCTGTTGATAAAAGTTTCATTATAAGCAAATAAAGTATGAAAGGATGACCAGAAGCTGAAAAATTTGGCATGACTACAATTAGAAAAAGCTATCATTTTTTGTTGCTTCACAATATCTAATGATTTCTGCTTTAATATATCTTATATTCAGAGTTATGATTATTGTGTTTGCCTTTAAATCCAATAATAATCTCTAGTGAAAAATTAGTTTCACCCTCCGAAACAGTTTTAAGCCATTTTTCGACTTCCTTCCTCATCTTTTTCACATAAAAGCTTTGGGAAAGCATTACATAATGTGTATTTCAAATGAGCCTCAATGTGTTAGAGGGTAGCTTAGACATTACACGCACAAATACAAACAGACTGTAAAACTAGGGACATAATTATGCATAAGTCTTATAATTGTGGAATTTTTCAAAGTTTTATTAATAATGAGGAAATACGAAATAATTTACTTGTAAAAATGTAACTTCAACTACCGGACAAACATCAAGCTTGGGTGCATAAAACACTGTTTTATCATTTTGACAACATGGACCTATTTCCATTTCCAGCCATCGTGTGAAAGGCATATACGTCCACTGTCGGGGCGGTGGGGTAGCCCAGTGGTTAAAGCGTTCGTTCATCACGCCGAAGACCCGGATTCTATACCTGGTACCCCCGCCGTGATATTGCTGGAATATTGCTAACATCGGCGTAAAATCCAACCCACTCACTCACCCACTCAAAACCCACCCACTCACTCACTGTGAAGATGTAAATACGACCGATGTGTTATGAAGCCGAGTCACAGGCTGTACACGTTTTAATGAATAGCTACTACCTGCCAAGGATAGACCATTAGCTGTCTTTATTTGCAGAGCGATTACTACATATAAGTTGAAACATTTCCTATTCAGTGATCGGCCCCTGGTGCCCCTGGTCTAATGTTGGTCCGTGTTCAGTGACGTGCGGATGTGGGAATCAACAGCAGGCTCGCACTCGGATCTGTATAAATACTTGCATTCCCCCTGACTGTGTTAATCGCGAGGACAGAACGGTCAACTGCAGCCATAAGCCGTGTCGTAAGTATAAAAATAACCTTGTGGGGTATTGATAGCTACTGTTTGAATTGTTCCATTAAGAGAAGGAACAAAGATATATTTTGTACACAACAGAACATCCAGCATGTCCAGTGTCGTTTACTCCAACCTCCCCAATATTCAAACGTTGGTTCTAAGTATAGGGTAAAATCTGTATCTTAAACGATATCATTTTGAGTGAGGTGAGGTGAAATTGGGTTTAACGTCGTGCTTGAGAATATTTCACTCATATGACGACATGCATGCGTGTGTATGTGTATGGGCGGTATGTGTATAGCCCAGACTGAAGCTGGTTTTATAGTGCTAGCCCACTTAGATACCATGCCGCAGTGAAGCATGAATACCCCGCTCAGCACATTATACTGACTCCGAGCCGACCAGTCCTTGTCCATTAATGCCGAGCGCCAGGCAGGGACCAAAAAGTACCATATTTTAACGTCTTTTGGTATGACGCCGTCGGGGATCGAACCCGCGATCTTCCGTTTTCCGGGCGGACGCCCTAACCACTATTTTTAAGTCGTCATATACCTAATTATTACAAAAGCGGTCTGAAACCATTCTACAAGCTATATAAAAATAGATAAGGTAACAGTCACGTGTCACTTAATTCAAACTGAGAGAGTAAGCTAGTGAAAAGCAAAAACTTAACTCTTTCCTCGTAACATATATTTAACCAAGAACGTAATCAGAAACAACAAGTTTGTTCTGACCTGATCACATAAGAATTCAAACGACACCATTGCGTATATGAAAAGAATATGTATGTATGTATGTATGTATGTATGTATGTATGTATGTATGTATGTATGTATGTGTGTGTGTGTGTGTGTGTGTGTGCGTGCGTGCGTGCGTGCGTGCGTGCGTGCGTGCGTGCGTGTGTGTGTGTGAGTTTAGTTTTACGCCGCACTCAGCAATATTCCAGCTATATGGCGGCGGTCTGTTGATGATGGAGTCTGGACCAGGCAATCCAGTGATCAACAGCATGGGTATCGACCTGCGCAGTTGGGAGCCGATGACATATGTCAACCAAGCCAGCGAGTCTGACCACCCGATCCCGTTAGTCGCCTCTTTCGACAAGTATGGGTTACTGAAGGTTCCACAAGGGTACAATGTGCGAAGCCCTTTTCTGGTGTTCCCCGCCGTGATATTGCTGGATATTGTAGTTCTATAAACTACACTCAATCGTAAGCCTTCCAGATTGATCCTGTGTTTTTCGTAAGCAGAGACTGAATGGGTTGAAGTAATCCGCCACTTTTTCTATTGCACATAAGTGTATCACATCACAATTTATGGACGGGTCGGCTTTTTGACAAGCACTGGATTATCTGGTCCAGACTGGACTATTAAAGCCGGTGGTGATATGGTTCGAATATATGTCTGGGTGCAGCGTTGAACAACAACCCTTTCTATTGCAGCTACTACTGCGTGGACGTCATGGAACGGGTGGTCAGGGACACGATGGCCGACATGGAACAGAGGGTCACAGTGGTCAACATGGAACAGAGGGTCGCAGTGGTCAACATGGAACAGAGGGTCGCAGTGGCCGACATGGAACAGAGGGTCACGACGGTCGACATGGAACAGAGGGTCACGACGGTCGACATGGAACAGAGGGTCACGACGATCGACATGGAGCAGAGGGTCACAGTGGCCAACATGGAACAGAGGGTCGCAGTGGACGACATGGAACAGAGGGTCACGACTGCCGACTTGGAACAGAGGGTCACAGTGGCCGAGATGGAACGGAGGGTCAGGATGGCGGAGATTCGGATGATAACACGGAAGGAAAAGTACATATTTAATCCTAAGATATTAAAATTATGATGTAAGAACAGTGGAGATCGGGTTAATCCAATTAGAGCAACTGACTTAGTTCAAATGTGCCTCTGTTCATAAAGCACGGAACTGATATGTATATGCGAGGTGGTTGTAAAACCCCTCTAGCGCCCGTAGCCAGTTAACGTTGTATACTCACGAAGGCGGTAGGGTAGCCTAGAGGCTAAAGTGTTCGCTCGTCACGCCGATTTCCCACATGAGTACAATGTGTGGAGCCCATTCTTGGTGTTCCCCGCCATAATATTGCTGGATTATTGCTAAAATCAGCGTACAACTAATCTCACTTGATCAATGTCTATGATGCCAATTACTTGATATTAAGAGATCGCTAGAGTGTGGTTTAATGCGGCGTAATCATCAAACAGATGAATGATGTTCCAGTCATAATTGGCAGCCATGAATGTTTCTTCTATGCGTCAAGGTTTTAGAGTGACGTCGTTCTTTTACAAATCCTTACACATGTCAATTGCCAGGAGAAAATAGTTATCACATACATCTATAAGTTTGATTTTTTGTTTCTTTGTTATTTCTACAAACCATTATTTCTTGTCTTTGCAGGTAGCAAGAGGCACCAACACAGAATCAGCTGCCCTGACTTACATGTAAAGCCAGCTCAATGATCCAAATAAAAAGTGCAACATACAAGTGTCATGTTATGAATGTTCTATAACCCCAGGAGATTTACGTAAATGTTGTTGTCAGATACCCACTGCGAAAGGGAAATTTAATTCGATTTTTTAACCAAACACTTAACTGTCTCAGTAACCTGTAAAGTGGATACCAGAGTGGACTATGTCGTCTAACACCCATACAAGATCTATGCTTTAAGCAGGCTCTTTGGTACCATATCAGGAGCACTTGTTTCTGAATAACTGTCACTATCAAGAGTTCGAAAAAGGCCAACGTGCAAAATGCGGGAAGGACGAAGTTTTCATTTAACGTGGAAAGTAAATGTGATAAAATCTCTTTCCTATCCTCAGGAAAAATCTGCATTGTGCATTCCTTCTGAGTGAGTGAGTGAGTGAAGATTCCTGGTCATATCGGCAGTATTTCAGCCATATAGTGACTGAAACAAGTTATACATTAATAACACATAAACCGAGCATATACAAATCTGTGGACGAACTACACAATGGTGCAGGCCCTGTGCCAACCTTGCGCTAAGCGACCTACTCGACCTGAAGGTTAGAACACTAAGAAAATGACTGAACGAGCTGTTCCAGTGATGACCATCACGTTTTATGTGATAAAAGCATCACTATGTCAGGGAAGACCTGAAGCGAGTTGGTCGATTTTGAGATCGAGATAGGTCGAGTCAGGTATACTAAGTTTTTTAAAAATGTCAAAACCTTTTCGTAGGTAGAAAAAGGCCGAGTTTACTTGGAAATTAGGTTTTGCTGAAGGTCGAGCTGGCCTGACATGCCGATAAGTGTTCGGCTTCGAGTCGATCTGTACTCGACCATGAGTCGACCTGAAGTCGACCTATCTCGACCTCAACTCGACGTAACCGACTGCATGCCGGCCGCATTAATGGCCGCCATCTTCCCAGCAGATTCATCTGAGCCAAACTTGAGCCAAAGAGTGAACGTCCTTAGCAGATACATTCAGAATCATCCAGAATGCCGAAGGAACAAGGTCACAAGGGCAAGGGCAAGGCTCCTTCCAGGCAGGGCACCAGGAAGTCATACAAGAAGCGTCGGACTATCGCCTCTTCCGCAGATGGTATAGTGTATATTATTTGTTTGTATTTCACAGATGTCACTGTGTACTATTTGATACCATTGATGTATACTACGGAAATGTGTAAAATTGTTTTTGCTGGGTATGATGTGGACTGCGTAATGTTTCTTTAATATCGTGTGAATAGTAAAAACAAATCTGAGCATTTGTTTTACTTAGATCATGTTTAAACTTTCCTTTAACATTTTAAAATGAACCGAGTTTGGGTTTTTGAGGAGAAAGTGGAGACAGTTGTTGACCAGGCCGACCCAGAGTTTGAAGACAGAGAAACAGCTCATTCAACGCAAGACTTAGATGAGGTGAGCTCAGACGAAAGCATTCCTGTGTCATTTGGGACTTTTGGTATGTAGTGTAATCATCGTGGGAGTCAGTTTTGATCATGTTTATTTGTATATTTGCAATGTTTATTTCTTTTCCACAGGAGCGGGCCATGAACAGGATGAAAAGGAGACTGACGTCCGAGGAGGAAGACCATATGGTTGAATGGCTCAAGCAGAATCAGTTCTTGTACGACAAGGCTTCAGAGCTTTCCAAACTGACCAGCCAGAAACAGAAGATGTGGGCTGACAAGGAGCTGGGTGACCAAGGAAATTCGTATGCAGTACGGCAAATTCACCAAGAAAGTGAGTGATAAATTACTTAATTGACCATTACATGGATATGTGCTAGAAATATCATATATTTATACTTACTCACTAGAAATGTATATTTATATGTACTAGAAATGTGTAGTTATATATATATATGTACTAGAAATATATTTATATGTACCAGAAATATTATATTCCAATGAATGTCACTTGACGAGTAGTTCAAGAGTAGTGAAGAGTAGTTCTGAACATGCTATGCACACGGCCAGGCGTCAATGGATTAGAGACAGATTCCAGTTCCTGACACCCCTACTGCCTTACATTAGGAGTGGCAGGTAGGCACTTAACACTTAGTTTCTTAACTATAATAACTCAAGCGTAATTATACGTCAATTTAAACTCAGCATTTACAAACTTGTGGTGTGTAAAAAGGTGTTAGGAAAAATAAAACAAATAAACTGACATATATGTATATATATATGGTTACATCGAAGATGAATTTCTCCGCTAACTTGGGGGAACCAACTGCAAACTTTATGCAGATTACTTGTATGAGGATCATGCATCAAATCGCTAAAAGGCATATGCAAATATCGTTCATGTGAACAGCTGCGTTTTGCTGTAATGTTTTGTTAAGAATTCGCCAATTTTTACTGATTTTCATCATTTACTGAACTCACGACAATAATCTATTTAACGTTACGAATTGGTTTTACAATACATTAGTTCATGTGTAAACAGTACCTATAAACTGGATGGAATATTTGCAAAATCGAGTTTAGAAATTGTAAGGTTCATGCCGCCAGGAGATCCAAGGAGTTGTTGTCAGGTACCTCAGCATGGTTCTGAAGATGGTGAGTAAAGCCAAAATTTCTTTCTTAATATGTATACTTAATTAAATTGCATACATTATTTTGTAAAGAAATGTGAGAGTATTAACGTTGGACACATGAACGTGGTAACATCGCACATCCTGTTCATCCGCCAGTTGAAGCATGTGTCAGGCAGTCTGCAACTGCATTGTAAGCAGTCTTCGCTTCCGAGGCTCAACATGTTTACGTGAAGGTTCATGGTAGTGGTGTTACTATTTTGCAGTCCTCAAACTGAATGGATACCTGGTGAAAATTAACCCGGTAATTTATACAATTTGGAAACCAATGGTATACTCGGCAGATAAATGGAATTTCCGTCGAGCTCAGGTCAAATAGATGTCGGGCCGGTTGACTTAGGTCGAGATTAAAGTGGCACTGATCCAGAGCAATGTCCATGGACTAGTTGTTGCTTTTGTTATTGTTTTACTCCCTTGAGTACCCGGATGATATCCCAGAAATCTCGACTGGTTCATGACCTCTGCTGCGCCACCCGCAAGTACAATAGTATAAGTGTGGACTGATCAACAAAGATGAAATCATTTTTACTCGATAATATTTCCATCTTCATTATTTATTTATGATAACAAGTGAAAACATTTTGAAGTTGAACCATCTGCCAGTGGTAAAAAATGTTAGGACTGAAAAATAACGAAGTCAAATATACGTCTTTATATTTTGTCTTATAATTCAAATTAGTTTATTGTCATATCTGTATGCATTTTGAAACTTAATAACAAGCACACGATCTGCTGATACTTATAGTGAATTTATAACATCACTGTAATATGTAGACATTTTATAGATTGCCAGTTAAATCATATTTCACACACACGCCCGAAGTGCCACCTAGTGTATGTTGTCTGTCTCATTGCACTTCACGGCGAAAAAAAAAATTCTGTTGAATGCTACAACATGATCTCTAAACATAAATTTTTAACATAATTTTCAAGATTTTATATAAACAGTTGGTGCGCAGTTTATTACCATTAACCTTTCCAACATCATTCCATAGAGAAGCATGCCAACAATCAACTTCCTGTCTTTTTTTTATATTCCTTTACATAATTAATACAACGTTTAGAACCCAGTCATTATAAAGTAAAAATTCACAGTTGTATTGACATAACAACTTAAAAACTTCTTTTTTGCATCCCCCATAAGTGTATCCTTTTTTTATATGCGGATGCCTTAAATCTAAAAATATTACGAAAACATTCGACTTTTGTGAAACATCTACAGAGCACCAACCCATGTCCCCTCTTCTTGCATTTACTGGAGCATTCTTACCAATGCCAAGAAACATTCTACATGCCTTATTTGGAACTACTTGCACTTTTTTATACTTATTTATACCCCAAATACTCGCACCATACCACAATACAGGTTCAACAAGAGCATTATACAACTTTGTGAAAACATCATAAGACATACCCCAGCGTAAATAAACTTGTGTACAGTGCAGATAAAGCTCTACTGGCGAATTTAGACAAATTCCTTTACAGTAAGATACATATCCATATGCTCGTTCAAAAACACAAACTCAAATAACAGTAGAATGTATCATAAACGATTGTGTTATCGCCAGAAGTAAAACCAAAACATGGCTTGACAACAGATTTTTTTCTAAAATGAATGATTTTGGTTTTATCAAGATTTACAGTGAGACGTCATTTTTTACACCAAATATTCAGAACATGTAGCATCCTGTGGCAATAAAGGCAATGTCATCAGAATACAATAGACTACATGAAATGTCAGCATCAATGGATACACCATTAGAGTTATAGCAACAATGTCAGGCTGTTACCTTGTTCGAGGAATGTTTCCATCAACATATCCACATAAAGGAACGATATGCCATTCATCTGCAGCTGACATAGAATCCTGTTTCATGCCATGTGTCTTTTACAGTCTAATATGCGAAAACGTGATAAATCGTTTCAGGTTTTTCACATTGGTCTATAGTCATTGGTCACCCAAGATAGCACACCTGGCAACTAATTGCATAATATCCGCCATTCTTTAACAAAAGTAATTTAGTTAGCCAATAATGAGCATTCAATTGGCGGTTAATCCTTTGAATGAAGGATGTTGTTTTTACACAGGCACTTTACGGCAGGGTGTATTCAGTATAGGTGAGTAAATCCACATGCATAAACACTACATTTTGACAAATCCTCTGCGCAAGATAAAAGTAATTAATCAATCAGCGTGTTATCGGTTAATCCTTTGATCGATGTTTGTTTTTGTAACTTAGTTGATAATTCTTCTTGCTGCACTTCCATCCGCATATTACATAAGCTGTAATACATTTTCCACATAAGACCTTAATTTATAATGCTAAGTATTTACTCCAGATTCGAGAAATGCCAAATGGGAACCTTTGTCGGGTAATCTGAGTGGTGCTACCACTAATTATACGTGTTATAAATTCATTAACTGACCATCAAGTGAATGATGACAAATGCCATGTATAGGTTTATACCACCAAACACGGGCTACAGCAAGGGAGTAGTAATCGCTGTATTGCACGCAATTGTTTTGAGGATACAAATTGCGGAATTTCATTGTTGCATAAGAAATACATATAAGCATTTTCTATGTACTTGAGTTAAAAAAACGTAAATACCTATTTACCCAAGTAAATTTTCTATTTTTTCTAGCAATGGCAAAATGGCGTTGTTTAGTTTACAGATTCTAAGGAATCAAATGTGCTTTTTTTAATATAGGTAATAGACATCATATTTTCACATTACACGATTTTATATCGAGGTAAAAAACACATAAATAGGATTAAACTGGATCTGTCACTATACCACCCAGGCATTAGAAAATCCGAAAAGCCTACACTGATGGGATACTGTATTACAATCAGACAAGAATATACCTTGAATATAATAAATCACCTGGAATAGATAATGCCTTACTTGAATCCAATCGAGTATTGTGGAATCTTTCGACATTCAGGGCTATTGGAATAATTGTTTCAGTATATCAACACTGGGATTTAAACAATACCCAGAACAAATGATGTATCACTCCATGAAGCATTTCCAGCGAACTCTTACCGCAATCATTAGCGAAACACGTGTCTTCTTGGTGATACAATATATATATGAAATAAATAAATGAATCACAGGCAGGGTTTAGAAAGGGCTGTGTATCAACTAATAACATGTTCGGAGAGAACAAGCAATATACCTTGACAGTGTATTTGTTTCATAAATATTTAATCGTACACCAATTCATTTATATATAAATATATTATACTAGTACACATTATATACTCAGCAGCAAAACAAAACGTCAGTACGAATTCAAAACTAGATAGGCACTGTAATCAAATCATTACAGAAATTGACATAATTAGCGGATCAAAACCATTTTTTGTGTACAATATGTTGTCACATAAAGTAAATTTCAAGACATTACGTGACCGTTTGCAGTCCATTCAGACTCTCGACTTCAGTATCGAGTGTGGCCACCACGAGCGGCAATAACTGCAGTACAGCTTCTATGCATGGAGTGCACCAATCGATTGATAAAGGCCATTGGCACCTGGAACCACACTCTGAGAAAGGCCTGGCGCAATAAATCGACTGTGTTCGGCCTTGGTATGACATTAGTCAGTCTCCTCGGAATTTCATCCCAAAGATGTTCAATTGGGTTTAAATCAGGACTAAGGGCTGGTCACTGCATAATGTTGACACCGTTTTGCTGTAGGAAGTCCCGTGTAGCTCTGGCAGTATAGGCCCGGGCGTTATCATGCGGGGAAATGTTGTTCTGGTAACGTGCAAAATGTGGTATGACGTGGGGTCTGAGAGCTTGGTCGATGTAGCGCACCGCTGTGATGCCGCCTCCTCTCCCTGGACCAAGGTTCTGGAACACCACAGGACCCACTCTCTGGTTCAGGCCTATTCCACGCCATACCATGATGCTTGCACCTCCCCATGAGTATCTTTCAATAACACATTGGTCTGAGTAACGCTGGCCACGTCGTCGCCATATTCTTGTTCTGCCATCTGCAGTTGATACGCAGTACCGACTCTCATTTGTGAACAGAACAGTTCTCCATTGCCTGTATCGCCAGTTTTGGTGTTGTAGGGCAAACTTTAGACGTTCACGCCAATGACGAGAGGTGAAGATAGGTCCACGATAAGGTCTATGGCAATGGAGGTTCCCGCTGTTAAGACGTCGGCGTACTGTATCAGTACTGATTGGTCTTCCGTGTGTTCCCACTGTCTGGCGTGCTGTTTCGGATGCCTGCAGAAAGGACTTTGTACAGGCACAACATGGCGGTCTTGCCGTCTTGTGGTCACCCTTGGTCTGCCAGTACGGGGGCGATCATTTGTGATGTTGGTGGCCCGGAAACGTTGCTGCAGCCTGTAGATGGTCCGAACGTTGACCTGGAAGTGATTGGCAACGGCTTATGCAGTGTGGCCAGCTTCAAGTCTTTCTAGCGCCTGGTTCCTCTGAGCTGTCGTGAGTCGCGGCATCCTGCTGACGTTGTAATGTGAATGTTTCAACCAGGTTTGGGAATGCATTTTATAGGGCTGGTCTTTGTGAACAGCACGTGCAGCATGAAAAACATGGAGAACACCGTACCATCTCCGAGGTCAGGTTGCGTTTTTGAGACCATTTCCTGGGTTCCATTCTGAGTTTGGGAAGGAATGTCTTTGCTCAGGTAAAGTTAGAGATGTTGTCTAAAATATACAATCAAAACATTAAATGAGTTAACGGTTATCCGTTTCTGCGAAGGAAAATTTCAAACTGACGTTTCTTTTGCTGCTTAGTATATATGTATAACTTTGAATTTGACGAATCCTAATTTTATACCCTGAATAATGTAAAATCTACCGTAATATGTCTGAG